GAACAATTTGTTCTTTGTAGTCTATTTTATTTCTGGACAAAATCGGAAAAGAATGGACAAAAGGGGCGGGGAAGAAAAAAAAGGAAATGAAAAGAATAAAGAGGAAGGAAAAAAAGAAGGAACCAGTAAAAACGAAGGGAGGGAAGAAATAACGGAAGGAAAAAGTAGAAGAAATAGGAGGAAAATAAAAAAAAAGAAAGAAAAAAGAAAAAATAAAGGGAAGAGAAGGAAAGAAAGAACAAGGAAAAATGGGAGTGAAAGAGAAGAAAGAAAGGAAAAGCTAAGGAAAAATAGGAAGGGAATGAAAAGGTTGAATGAGGGAAATGAGAAGAGAGAATGGTAGATACATTTAAATGTAAAGAGAAAAATTAATTGAAGAATAAAATAGGAAAGATCAAGACCAAAACAGACATAAAGAGTGTGGAGTGAAAAATAAAGATCGAATTAAAAAGATACGTGAAAAGAAAGGTGAACACAACGAAAGAAAATGGGAAGAAAAGAATAGGGAAGAAGATAAAGTAAAACAAAGAATAGCAAGAAAGAAAATAAATAAATACAGACTGAAATAAACAAAGAAAAACGAAAGAAAAGAAAGTTATCAAAAACAGAAAGAAGAAAATACACTCGCATGCCTGAAAGAGATAGATAGATAGATAGATAGATAGATAGATAGATAGAAAAGGTCTGGAAGAAAATGGAAGAAAAGAGAAGTACATCTATTTATACGCAAGAAAGAAAGTATAAAAAATGTAATGAAGGAAGGAAAGAATTGAAAGTAAAAACAGGAAGAAAGAGCGAAGAAATGGAAAGAAATGCTTCAATCCCAAGAAAGAAAGAAAATGAAGTAAGGAATGAAAGAGATCAAAGACAGTAAAATAATGAAGAAAAGAGAAATAAATAGAATAAAATACATATTCAGTAAAAAAGAAAATAACAAATGTGGAGGCTACGAAAAAGACAGAAAAAAAATGTTGAAAAATGAAATTGAAAGATATCTTCCACATTCTTAAAAATGACGAAAGTAACAAAGGGAGAAAAGAAAGCACAAAACCTGTAAGAAATAGTAGAGAAAAAGGAGAAAAATGGAAAACAGAAAAGAAAAAGATGAAAGACTGTTGGCTCAATCAGGGAAAGAGAAAATAATTAAAAACCGAAATGGTGGAATGAAATGAAGAATGAAATTTGCCTATCGCCAACCCGACCAAAAATAATAATGCATTTCCTTTTTTCATTAGTCGTAACACTTATCAAGTCATGTGTATAAAAATGTTTTCATGGCAATGATTGAACTCACGATGGCAATATCTCGGTACGTTTGTCTCTGATTTTTACATACTTACACCTACACTTTCATATTCCCACACTTTTATGTATAAAAATAGATACAGGGATGGTACTTATTTACACGATTTATATTCGGGCTATTGTCCTTGTATTTGTTGTTATTATCACTACGTTTAGACCATTGTTTCGTAATGGCTTACTTGATAAAAGCGTTGGTTTGGGAATTTGGTGGTTATGAGTTCAATCCGCGTGTCGGGTAGTTAAAACAGTACTGCACAGATATTGCTCATAACTGAACAGTACTGTTTCTACTGAGTACTCATAACTGAACAGTACTGTTTCTACTGAGTACTCATAACTGAACAGTACTGTTTCTACTGAGTACTCATAACTGAACAGTACTGAATATAAATAACTAGACAATATCCGTGAATATCATTGAAACAAGAACAATCAACAGCAGTAGATTGAATAAAGGGTTAATTTCCGAATTCCCAGATCGATATATACTCTCGAGGAAGGCCAGAGGGCAAAACGGCCGAAATGTAATGATAGCAACAACAAAGATGAAGAAAATAGTCCGAATATAAATAGTGTAAATAATGCTAATTTCTCATCCCAGAAATTCAGAGAGGGATGAAGCTAATACTGATCAGAAATTTCTTCAGCATCAGGTTTCAACATATTATCTTCTACTTTATCATTATAAAATATTCCGTTTTCATCTCATCACTTCTGTTAATTATCATCGTCATCAGTTAATTAAGCACACTGTGCTCAGCTGGCGAGTTTTGCAGAAGGCCCTGTCAACACCTTTATTAATATTTTCCTTTAACATGTAGAATTTGCAGTTTCATAAAAATTGCAGTTTAAGACAGTTCTCATACATCCATAAAAATATGAATAATTGTCACATTAATAACTTATAGTTATTTGTAGATCCATCTATCTGCCTATAGTTGCTTGCATGTTCATATTATGTACTTATAGCTGCTTGTAAGCCTATCTTAAGTAATTATAGCTGCTTGTAAGCCTATCTTATATTTGGTTGTAGGTCCGTCTTTTGTATTCATAGCTGCTTGTAGGTCCATCTTATACATTTATAATTGTTTGGAGGTACATTTTATATACTGATAGTTTTTAGATCCATCTTATGTACTCATGATTTTGTAGTATATTTTATATACTTATAGTTTTGTTGTATATCTTATGTATTTATATTTTGTAGGTACGCCTTATGTACTTATAGTTTTGTATGTCCATCTTGTGTACTTATAGTTGCTTGTAGGTCCATCTTATACATTTATAGTTGTTTGTATGTCCATATTACATACTTATAGTTTTGTAGATACATCTTAGCGTCACTATACTTGTTTTTTGAAGTTCATCATGATTATAATAATTGTTTAATTAAACTTTTTTGATTGATATTCTATCATATTTCCTTTATTGCATTTGTGACATCTTTACTGCCATTTTTCTTGCTGACTGATTGCTCTCTAACATTCCTTGAAATAAGTATATCAATTTTTTATCGCTTTGTCTAAAAAAAACAAAACAAATCCACTTGATACTGACTCTTTAAATACTTCTATGCGAAAACCCAACTAGTAACATTCCACCATCACCGATCAGTACCTTAAACATTCACCAATAGCAGTGAACGGATGTTCCCTAAGGGAGACCCCGTGCCTTGAACACCTATTGGGATTAACTCAGCCCAGATTTCACGTGATACCTAATATTCAGTAAAGATGCCTACGATCCAGTAAAGATGCTGGAAAATGGTCGATTTCCAGTCCCATTTCAGGAAGTATCTGACTCCTGCTGATATCCTCTAATTTTACAAGAGCCAGGTCAGACCGAAAATGGAGTACTGCTGCCATATATGAGCAGGAGCAGGCCAGTTTCACTTATCCAGTCTCAATAAATTCCAAGAGTGTCACCGCGTCCTTGTGGGTGACAAATAATTTCCCACCCTACAACCCCTTTCTCACAGACGAAATGTTGCAAGTCTCTTGCTGCTCTATCGCTATTCCCATGGAAAGTGTTCAGATGAATTACATTCCTTAGTTCCACCAATTTTAACCTTCATGGCTAAGACCCTCCATGCCACGCCCATTGTAGCGAACCACCCTCATTCCCTTCGTATCCTGTTGAGGGATTCCGAGATGAAATTTGGTCTCCAATGAATGACAAACGCAGGAATTAAAGATAAGAAATTAAATGTATTTACACAATAATATAATGGGTAATACTGTTAGTAAATCCAGGAACGCGGTTAGTAGCAATAACATATAGATATATACAGTCTCGAACTAGGACTTCCTTAGAGTCGGGCGTGCTTGTAACTGACTTCTACAAGCGGTTACCTCACACTATTACTCTACCTCCAACTCAATCACAATCACAGTCTTCTTGCTATCTGACTACTCTGACTGACTCTGGGTATTTAACGGCAGCAGTCCAAGTAACACTTTGGTCGAGTCCACTTATATGAAAAAGGGGAGGACCCCATAACATATTCCATTGATGAGATGTAAGTCTCACTCAAGCAGCTTCTTCCCCGAATCACTGCCTTGTGGAACTGACTCCCAAGAGGATGATTTCCCAATCACTACAATCTTAACCTATTCATATCTAGAGTTAAACGTTATCTTCCCCACATATCCGCATAAGCTGTGCTTCTTACATTGTAACACTCTATCTCGAGCGACCCTCTGGCCTTGTACCAGGTGAACATCATTGTAAAAAGAAATGCGTTCTGCAATGGGCTTGAAGAGAAAGAAGAAAGTTTAGTCGCCTGAAGAACAACTTTGATAATCCAGTCCCAGCTTTTAGCATATAGATCAGTGCCAAAAAGACCAATGGCAAAGACATCAAATCAGATTAAAATCAACGAAGCAGGATTAGTAACAATGAAGTCTTTCAAGTACATTGGCATACGGCGGCATCAAACTTGCGATTTTGACAAGGGTTGCTCAAAATGCTTCAATAACAAAACTTAATACGATCTAGAGAGAAAATACTGTCTGCCTTGCAACATTCTTTCTGTAGCGCTCCATTGCCAATGTCAATGTTTCTGCTTGTCTGTGAAATGTAGACACTCACAGCAGAACTCCAAAAACGTATTTTGGCAAAATGAGACACAAATCTACAGGAAGGTTTTAGATATTTCATTCACTGAACTTAGGATAAACGAAAACGTGAAAAGAAATATCCATAATACAACTGGACTCCATGATGATACCACAGTTGTCAAAAAATGAAAGCTTAGATCGTCCGGCCACGGATCACGTCCAACCGGCCTGACAAATCCATCTCTCTCGCGCTTGTGGAAGTATCATCCGGTTTCTTGCTTTCCAGTCAACTTTGATTTTCAAAAATTTAAATGCAATAGTAATCGCCATCCTCTCTCTCCTTAAATATTGTTCTTTTATTGGTCTTACGCCTTAATTATGCATTTTTCTCAGATTCTTTTTTACGTCTTAGTGAGTTTATCACTTTGATTCGGGTTAAAAAAAAATCTTGTAAGAAGCAGTTCCAGGAATCGGCACACGCTGAAGACAGAGATAAAGTTTTTCCTCGGAGGCACACCAAAGCCTTCAACTGAAGTCAAAGGATAGAATATATCCATTAAATTTAATTTCGAGTTTCAAAAATTGCCGTAATACACACAGAAATACGATACAATTTTTTGACATATACCAAACAAAATAGAAGTTTATATGATTAATATAATTCTTATATAATTGATATTTGTATAGAAAATACGTACATGGGAAATGACACGTTTGAAGCACCAAGGAAATTGAAAGACAATATTGAGTCTCTTTACATTGAGTGTTGTATAAGGTTTTTAAAATACTATTTTAGTCTTATCGTCAAATTTGCCAGATGTTCCTATTTTGGTTGTTTAGTTTGTTGGTCAAAATGTGAACGAATTGCACTAACATTCGATAAGTAACAAGTTAAGAATTTAATCTTGATAGATGCGATCTTCCAAAGGTCTCGTCAGTCAGTCAGTTATATGCCATGCGTGATACACGCTTGCGCGATCATGGATCTTTCGATACATGACTGACGAGGCTGATTTTTCCCCGCAGTAGGTTATCATTTCTTTCTGCAGTAGACCAGTTGCCGGTTTGTTCTGCTATTTACCCATAGCTAGTGGGAGAAGAAGCGAATTCATACCTTTCTCAAGGGTATTATCACGTAAGTGGATGTAATGGATTCGACCGGAATTCGAACTCGGTTTTCCGATTCCCCAGTCCGTGCCCTCGTAAAGATGATTTTTGAAATTCAGTTTTTGACAATCCACAGACTGTTCTTTACCTGTGTATTAACATTTCTTTTCTATCTTGTAAAAGATAGTAGCGTACTTTTCTGTTACCTTCTCTACGTTTTGGAATTCAGTTTTCCTTGTCTTAGTTGAAAGGGTTCATAAAACGTCCAGAACGGCTTTCTTCAGCCAGTCATCTAAATAATAAGAAAACTAAAGCTAGAGCAACAAGTGAAATCGATTTTGCCATTCACCCAATCACATGCACACACAGATGCATTGTTAAAATAGAGAAAAATAAAAGTTCTTTGCAATTAAATATCCTTTATTGATAATAATAATAATAATGATAATTATGATAATATTGGTAAGGATAATCATATTGATAATAATATTGTTGATAGTACAATTTATATAATTTTCGATCAGGTAAGTCCA